CTTCCACAGGCAGCTGGGTGGGCAGAGGGGAGAAGGCCCCTGCCCCCGCTGCCGCGTGACCGAGAGATGCTTGATTATCTGGATAAGATATTCAAGCTCGGGGTGCAGATGGTGGCGGCGGCCAATAATCTAGGTGTGTTGGGAGTGTCGCTGATCTCCCCTCAGCAGGACGCTCCCGCCCCCCCGTCTGAGGACGGGAGTGATTATTCGGATGGCTTCCGCAGCCGGTCGGGTGATGGCACTGACCACCATGGCGTCGCGTCACGTGTGGTTAGGTTTGACCGCCCTGGCTAAAAAGAACCGAGATGATCTCCTTGGGGCCCCCGTTGCCACGGGAGGGCTCTTTGGATCGATAGCCTCGGTCACTGAGCGCTTCAACCGCCTGGAGGTGGAAAAGGCTCAGCTCAGCCGCATGTTGCCGCTGGCTCACGGCCCCTCCGCAAGGGGGAGTGCGTCCGGCGGTGGTAAAGCGGAGAGAGGCGTCGGGTGAAAGTCCCAAGAGCGCCCTCTGCCTCCGCGGTCCGTTCTGAGGTGCCGGGTCAGTACCGACCCCCGCAGGGACAGGCAGACAGAATCCATCGGGCTCCTCCTCCGGTCCGCACTCCGGTGCCACCGCAGCGTAGGGGTACCGGGTGGGGAGCTCCGTCCTCCAGGAGTTGACTGGCGGCGGGAGGAAGCGTCTCGGCAGGGGAATTCTCCGGCCAGGACACGAGGGCAAATCCTGCCTCCTCCCTGTCCGATCCTTTTGTTGTAAAGTCATCCTTTGACAATAAAAGAGTTGAATTGTATTCCAGTTTGAATGTTTCTGCTTTCCACACACCCACACAGCCACGTAATGTTGTCAGTACAGTTTCCCCACTCGCTGCCCAGGTTGTAACTCCAGTAAAGGAGGCAGCAAGTGCGCATGCGCGGGTGAGGGTGATAAACCGCGCTATGCGGTTACAGGGACATTATGGCAGGCGTAGCAGGGTTAGGAAACAATTAATGCTTAGTGTGAAGACTCCACTTGATGTTTTTCACTGTTCGGGTGAAAACATCATGGCGAAATTGCTCCGAGACAAAGAACGTTTTTGCGTTTTGCCTTCCAGGGGGTGGCCTACGAGTACAACAGGCTGCCGTTCGGTTACTCCCTGTCCCTGCGCACGTTCAGCAAGTGCACAAACACACAAACACTCACAGCCGAAGTAAAAACAATAAGTGTGGCTTGTTATTGAATAAGAGAAAGGTTTATAAATGCTGTGAGAATGGGTCTGCGGAGAGCATTTCTCCGCGATCCCAACTCGTCTATTACCAACCAGGGGACTCCCTGTTAGTTGAACATTTAGGCTAAAGGTCCCCACCCCTCTTGGTGTGTGAGGAGCTCCGCGGATTGGTCCATTTTGGTTCCGGGAACCGCATGACGTCATGTGGTTCCCGGAAGAAACAAATGGAAAAAGAGAAATCCCCAACGAGGCGTTCTGGGGCAGCATAGACAGGTATTTTCTGTGTTAGAGTTTTACTCGCTACAGGGTGTACTTTGAGGGTTTGTGACTCTGCAGACCGTTTACATCAGGGGTGGGGAACCTTTTTCCTCTCAAGGGCCATTTCAATTTTTACAACATCCTTCGAGGGCCGTACAAATTATTGAACTCAACATCTGCTTAAAAAACTCAAATCACAGCCCATTCATTTCGCGTTTCTTTCATGCTGTGCAAAGAAAAAGCAACCTCTTAATCCAGATATTTGACCATGACCCGCGCATTCATACACCGTGGCATGACCACCAAAACAGAAAGATATGGACACAAGATGTGTGCAAATGTATTTAGTTTCATATCCATGTGGACATGATTTAAGGGTGGGGGGGGCGGATCTAACCTCATCTCGGGGGGTTTGGGGGCATGCACCACCAGGAAGATTTTTTTTAAATGTTGAAGTTAAAAGCATCAATCTGGTGCACTTTGAGAGCAACATGAAGAGATCTATGGATACATCTCTCAACACCCATATGAAACAGAACTGTAAGCAGATTTCTTTATGGATATTTTACAAATCACTTCCCTTTTAAACTGTATTCTTGTTTATTTATAACAACTTTTTTTTTACTGTCATATTAGTATTGTATACCTGTTTACTTTATTCTCTTATTTTTCTATAACTATAATGATCATATAAAGATGTGCCTTTACCTCACTGGTTGGAGAAAAAGCTTCTTATATTCGTTAGCATAGCTAGCTAACCAGATGCTAATAACAACAAAGTTATTGACTGTATGATCAGTATGACAGATGAACAGATCGCCACTGGGCTTTCAACTAAAGACACAGCCACGCAAAAACTGCGGCATGTGTACAGCTCCTTATGGGTATTGCAACTTGTGAAGTCCCGGCCCGGAGCCGCGTTCTGGTGCTCTCCGTTAGAACTACACTCCTGTGAGACGAGACATATACCACGTGATGACACGTTAGGCTCGGGCTGTGTTCAAGGACCCTGACCTTGGCCAGGAAAAACAAGCTTGTTTAATTATTTTGCGGTCTAGATTTCTTGAATTTTTTTCTTTTTTGCGTGTGTTTATAAATTACCTCGAGGGCCGTACCAAATGGTCTCGCGGGCCGTATACGGCCCGGAGGCCGGAGGTTCCCCACCCCTGGTTTACATGCATAAAAAGCTACATAACACACAAGGGGACGGGTAATAACCGGAAAAGCATGATATGGGACCTTTAAGCTAAGCTAAATAGACTAAAGCCCTCGCAAAACTCAAAATTACATCATGAAAAGTAATTTAGATATACGTGGATCTCACAGAAAAGGGTGCTACAAACATATAATCCTATAGGATATGAAACTAAATATAGGATTACTGGTTTTTATTAATATATTGATTGCACATAGATTTTTTGATCACATGAAATTCCTTATATATTCCAGGTAGTGTAACCTAGACAAGTAAGAACATTTATTTATTAGCAATAACCCTGATAACAAGTCGGGTAAAGAAATATTTGAGTGGTTTTACGGACTGTAGAGGTGCAGCAACAAGTCTGGGATAAAATCGCTTATCTAAACATAACATAAAAAGAATATTAACACCTATAAAACAGCTCTGAGCAATAAAACACGGCATCTTCTCTGAAGCTGTCGTGTTTTAAAACTAATAAAGCTCATGAACAAACCAAAGTCCCTTAGCCAAAGGATACAGCCTATTCTGTAGAAATTATTTGTTGTTATTATTTACAGAGAACTGCTATGAGTGATTGAAATAGTTTAATCCAGTGTCACTTGCACTGACAATGCCTTTATAAGTAGTTTTACATGATGAACAGCTGGTGCAAACTATGTTAAGTTGTGGTTCAAGGGAGAAATATTTGTCCTAAAAGAGTCACTAAAGAACTCAAACAGCTCTGTGATTCATTCCAGACCTTCGACCAGCCATCAATAAATAAACCAGAGGAATGCGAAGAACAGCAACATTTTTTTAAATGTTCAAACTTTAAGAGTTTATTTAGAGTATGTGTACATTGTTTCACAAAAAGTCCGAGAATAAATGTAAAAATAGCTCCAAAGATAGTTCTGGAGAAGACAGCCTGCTTTAGTGAATGGCTGACAGGAACACACACACACACACACACCCACACCCACACCCACACACACACACACACACACACACACACACACACACACACACACACACACACACACACACACAGCATTTGTCGGTATTTCCTGCTAATGACCCTGCAGTTATTATGCTGGTATCTGACCAGCTACTGTTCCCACCCTCCTACGCAATCTGAGGGTCCTTGTGTTGTGTAAGGAAGGGGGAAAATCCTCCTTGTTTTAAAGCATTTTGACCTTTTTAAGTCAGTTTATACTCGCGCCAGCTACAAGCATGCACTGAGATTAGGCTAAATCAGGAGGCGTGCAAACAAAGTATTCAGTGAAGAAGTCAACCAATGTTACTGACAAAACAACGTAGATCGCACATGTAACTCCAGGAGTAATTGATATTAACTTTAGTCAAATGTTCATGGACATACGTCATTGCCTTAATACAATCCCAGTCAAATTGGATCAACAAATATATTATAATAAAAAGAAGTTTGAAATGTTGGATATCCTGTAAACTATAGTATTCGGCTGGCAAAAATACTTACCAAAATGTAGATTTCTAAGATCTACTCGTTAGTTTTAAAAAGAAAAATAATAATAATTAAAATTTTTTTTATTTAAGGCACAATAGTAGAGGAAGAAAATACAAATATGAATGTGAAAATGAGCATAATATGGCCCCTTTAAAATATCACCAAAGAAATAACTTGACTTTCTTTTGTCCCTGAATTTTATTGCCTCCTTTTATCACATTTGTCTCTATTTACATGAAAATAGCTCATTTGATGATGGATCAAACACAGCCCTAAAATACTTCGGTATTGTCACAAAGATAAATGCATGTACTTTGAAGGGTGATGATTGCTTCCTTTTATATGGAGAGTGACATCATGTGCAGAAGACAAACAAGACATTAAAACTGTCTCTAGAACACACACACACAAACACACTTGTTGCTACATGTAGCGGTGATAGCGTCCCTTTAGCTGTGTGCACTGAGGTCTCTTTGAACCACCGCTTAACGTACAATTACAAGGTCAAAGGTCACGGCAGACAGTAGATTGATGGACAGGAGGACAGAAGATGAGAAGCAGATAAAAACATGAACTCCCACTCTTGTTTCTGTGCTTCTTCAATCTTAAAGAATTTCAAACACACTGCTGCCAGGAAATTTAGACCAATTAAAACAACCAGTAAATAATTATTGTCTCTCAAACACACACATGGAAGGCAGCATTCAGTCATGCAGTTAGTGTGTAAAGATTAAGGGACTGTGTTTGTTTCAGAAGACAGTAAATACTTCTAACAGTTCCTCTGTTCTCTTTCACTTCCTTCTCTCTCTCTCTTCTCACAGTTCAGAAGTACATCCCCACTAAACTAATTCAAAGTTGATTTTCTTTTAAGTCTTAGGTCCAGAGTAATATGGTTTATAAAAACAACGAAGTTTGGAGCCGATTTGGGATTTTGGCAAAAATGAAGTAAATGTACTTGACTAATAGGTCAAGCCAACACAACAGGCAACTGGTTGTATTGCATGTTGTCAGTGGGTCTTTGACCTGTGATGATTAAGTTCATCAGACATTCGCTGACAGGTCAGGGAGGATAGATCTGAAAATTAAAGAAGTGTTTCTAAAAGTCAGCATTTTTCTGTTCCGAGTTTCCTGATATAAGTTCTTACAGATGTGGAGGAGTGCCTGTAATGACACCCAGAAAACAATGAGGCAGCAAAGGATTTTCCTGAGAAAAGCCCTGATGAAATCATTTCGCAATGCCTGTATAGTCGTCAGGACAACGTAAACACAAACACACAGTATGCCAGCGACAACATCTGTGTGAAGTGATACTGGGACAGGAATCCAGAGAAAATAACCAAATTACCGTAAAGAAAAAAACTAAAAAA